GACTTGATTCTCTATGTCCCCCAACCCGAAGCCACTCCCCGCTCCCAGCTCAGGATACTTGCCCAGCTGGGGCTGAGGTGGGCGCAACGCCGCCTCAGGGAAGCCTCCCCTGATTGCCCCCGGTGGGGTGAACTGCCTCTTCTCCAGGCCTTTGCACTCAGAATGCTCTCAGAATGGAACAGACTCCCCACTCTGCCCGGTGGGACTCTACACGGTTGGCCACTGGGGACTGTGCCTTTTGAGGAAAGAGCTCTCCGAGCAGAAAGAGTTTGAATAGTCTGGGAAGAACAGGGACCTGGGAGTCAAACAGGCTGGGGAGGGTGTCTCCCTGCACGGGGCCTCCTCTGAGCCATGGGACGGAGGGGGGACCTGAGACTGGCAAGCTCATCCCCTGCTGGGACGCCTGCCCCGCGTGGCCACTGAGCACAGGAAGTGGCCAATCGGGGCTGGGAGGTGCCGTGAGCAGGTACGATGCGCTCTGGTTTCCCACAGCTCGACACCAAAAAAGAATGGAAAATCTCATTAGTAATTTTCATTACATGTTGAAATAATAATGTTTGATACCTTAGGTTAAATAAAATACATCATTAAAATTAATTTCACCTGATTTTTTTTTTGGTTTTGTTTTGTTTTTTACCTTTTTTCATGTGGCTACCAGAAGATGGAATGTTCTGTGTGCCTCACGAGTTCTGTCTGTTGGGCAGCCCCGCCCTCGATGGCCGGTACTGGGGAGGGCGGCCGTGTGCTGGGGTCCTCCCTGTGCGCTTGCCCCCCGTGGGCTGCGGCGCCGTTCAGGCCCCAGGCTCGGGTCTGTTTGGGGGTGAGAGGGTCTGGCAAGGACTCAGGGCCTGGGCCTCACCTGGCTGACCCCTGACCCCTGGCTGCTGGTTCCCCCCGGACCAGACACTGCCCTCTCTGGGCTTTGCTTTCTACATCAGTAAAAAGAGCTGGTGGCCCAGGGCCAGGGTTTTCCATCTGTTTTTGGGGGTCTGTGGGTGGGGGGAAACTGAAGACAGATGGAGGCCCGGCCCCTCCCCAGATGGCCCTGGCAGAACCCCCGCCCAGGGACAGCCCACGCTGCCCTTCCTTCCACCCATGAGACCCGCACGAGCTACTTCCCATCCCTTCGCCCGTTTCGGGGGGCAGGGGAGTGCAGTGGCCCAGTCACTTAGGCCGGGGCTCCAGGAATGGCTCCACCCTTCCTGGCTCTGTGCCCCTCGTTGAGCAAGTCCCCTAAGAGCTCCAGAGCCCTTTCCCCACTTGTGGGAGGGGAAGTGTGGGCACTTTCTGATTTCTGTGGCTCAGGCAACAGCACCTGGAGGAGGTCACAGCTGTGTCCCTCCCACTGTCTTTGGCCAGCCAGCATCACACTGCTGGTCACCTCAGGTCCAACTGGGGGCCTGGCCACTCCCCTCCTTCCCCTGTTTGCAAAGGGTCCCTGGTGCTGGGCAGGAGGGGCGTGAATCAAGGCAGAATCCACTGTCCCGGGGCAAGGGGCCAACGACCCACTCTGATCACCTCCCGGCCCCTGCTGGTGGCTCAGGCTCTGCACAGCCCCCCGAGTTCTGCTCTAGGTGGCAGGGGCCTGTCGGGGAAGGCTGCAAGGGCTGGGCCTGGCCCAGGACTCTCCGGGTGGGGCCCCCAGCTCTGGACCCGGCTCCACCACTGCCCAGACATGTGTGTTCATTCAGTCCTTCATTCATTCAAAAAGTATTTACTGAGCACCTGCTATGTTCCAGGCGCTGTTCTAGGAGCTGGAGATATATCAGTGGACAAGACAGGCACAGTCCCTGCCTGCTGGAAGGCAGGGCTGACAATAAGCATAAATAAGCACATTAGCTGTGCTGTCCAGTGCAGTAGCCATTACCTACAAGTGGCCATTAACATCTATGTTAAAATGAAGTAAATTAAATAAAAGTTAAAATTCAGGTTCTCAGTCATACTAGCCACATTTCAAGTGCTCAGTAGATATATGTGGCTGGTGGCTACTGTACCAGCTCAGTACAGAACATTCTCTTCATCACAGCAATGGGCCAGCACCGATGGCGTTTGGAAGGGAAGGGTGATTTAGAGTGCTGGGTTTAAAGGAGGTGGTCCGAGTGGGCCTCATGGAGGAGGTGGCCTTTGAGCAGAGTCCTGAAGCATAGGAGGAGGGAGCTCCATGGGAATCTGGGGCAGAGGGTTCCAAGCAGAGGGCTCAGCAAGTGCAAAGGTCCTGTGGTAGGATCTCGGCTGGAGTGCTTCAGGAGGCCATTGTGGCAGGAAGGGAGTGAGCAAGGGATCAAGTAGACACGGGACGACAGAGGGGAACGGCCCCACCCAGAGGGCCTTGTCAACCATTTTAAAGACTTTGGCTTTTACTCCGGGTAGAGGCGCCATGGGAGGGTTTTGAATAGAAAAGGAACAGGGACTGACTTGTGTATTGCCAAGTGGCCTCTGGCGGCTGCGTTGAAATCAGGTCATGGAGGAAGAAGAGTGGACTCGGGAGGCCAGTGAGGAGGTCGCCCCGCTATCGCGGCAGCAGAGGTGGGGAGAAGCCCACAGGGCTCCCTGGACACAGTGTGGGTATGAGAGGGAGACGGGACGGCTAGAGTTTCTGGCCTGAATGCCTGGGAGCCCGGGCCCTCGGCTGTGATGGTGGGGGCGGGGTGGGCGAGGCCCTTCCCTCCAGCTGCGGGTGTTGCCACCTGCCCCTTGGGGTACGGACAGTCACAGCTTTGAGGTTGACTGTGTCAAGGTACCTCCCACCGTTCCTGGTGTGTGTTCGGTAACTCAACAGCATTTATTCTTACTAAACAGGCTCTGTTTACGTGACAGTGGCCAATGCCCCCAAACCTCAGAGGACGTGGAGAGCCTCCGTGAAATGTGTTATAAACCCTTGACCTTGGGGATCAGGGACATTTCAAACCTTCTTGTAGCCCAGAATCCCATTGTTCAAGTAACGCTGCACATGGAACCCTGTGTTCAGGGCAGAAAAGGCAAAAGCTTCCCGGTGGAGGTGTCTGGCAGTCCCCACCACCCAAAGCCCTCGGTATCCTGGGAACAAAACAGGTGGCCTCAGAGCGAGGCTCGAATCCAGGACCTCTGCCTCCCAGCCCAGGGCTCCCCCTTCCTCCTGTCCCGAGCTGGGCTGGGGCAGGAGGGACCCTGGGGCTGGGAGTCAGCACATCTGCCCCTCTGGGCAGGGGGTGCGTGTCAGGTTGCAGCAGCCAGAAGGGGCACAGTGGGGGATGGGGACTGGCAGCCACAGTGTTCCCTGGGTGACCTGCACGTTGCCAGGCATCTTTCCAGGGCGAGATAATCTCTCCTGAGAAGAGGGAAGAATTCTAATTACATCTCAGGACAATATTTGTTTGGGGAGACGAGAGACAGAACATATGGCGGGGAGGGGCATTGGGCCGTATTAAGTGGGGATTTGTTTTCTGGTTTACCTGGCGGTGTGGTGTGGCAGGACAGCACACGGGGCAGGGCCCTGCCGGGCTGGGGGAACCGCCTGCCCTGGGATTTGTGGGGCTGGGGACGGGTGTGGCTCCCACCTCGCCCTGAGAAGAAGGAGAACACTGCGCTGGCCCCGCGCACGGGGACAGGACCTGGTGCAGGAACCACGCTGCGGGAGCTCGGAGTCCCTGCTCCTGGAGTCCCACGGGCAGTGGGGCAGGGCGGGAGGTGGGGGACCTTCCCAGGACCGTCAAGGAAGGCCCCCTGGGGGGCAATGTTTGCACTGAGCTTTGCTGGATCTGAGGGAGCCAGCTGGGCAGAGGGGGGTCAAGGGAGGGACGTTCCAGGTGGCGGGGGGAACAGCCGGGGCAGAAATCAGGTGGGAAATCGAGGCACGTTCACAGGACAGAGAGGAAACCAGGGGAGGAGTCTGGGTTTTATCCCGGGGGCGCTGGGGAGCCATGGGAGGGCTCTGAGCAGGGGAGAGGCTGTGTCTGATTTGGTTTTACAAAGACGGTGTTGGCTGCTGTGCACGGTGGGGGGGG